CGTGCTGTGACGGACCGTGTGGTGAGGTCCTCCAGGATCTCGAGGTCGCCGCACGGTCTGCTCCCCGCCACGGAGACATCCGCACCCGCCATCCCTCGAGGTCCTGTTGGCACGACCCCGAAGCGGCGGATCATCCTGGCGTTAAGTCGGGCATGTCCCTCTATAGGAGGACTATTCAAGAATAGTTAAGTCATGGGGCGATTTTTCGACTCTTGTCCATTGTTCTTCAAAATCCGCCTCTAGGAGGACATGCCCGACTGAATCCTGGTGGTGGACGCGGCGCCACTACCCTACAAAGCACCACTGCGTCAGCCTCACGTGAATGAGCCGTGCCACTGGGTGCCACGTCGCGCCCGATTTTCACACAGGACCGATGGTTTGACCTGCACGCACGTGTCAACGACGGGCCTCTGACACCTCTTATGCGACTGGTTGCGCCGCCGTGCCTCACATGCAGATGGACGGCGGCGCTGCCCAGCCGCCTCCCCCGTCCTGCCCCGCACGGCCCCCCCTCCCGCCTGCGGCTCGCTGCCTGGCAGAGTTCAGCGAGCGTGTGGCACTTGGGATTCGGAGACCCCTCCCTCCTCCCGCCCCCTCCTCCGCCTCCGCTCCCTCCTTTGCCTCCTCCGCCTCCTCAGTCGGCGTCCGTCATGGTGGCAGAACGACTGCAGGCGAAGCAGAAAACAGCATAAGCATAATCTGTCAGAGCTCCGCGCGGCTCTCTTGCATCGGCGCTCGGCCCTCTGGGCGGCGCCTCGTGCGCCGCCCCTGGCGCGCTCCGCGCGTCAGAGAGGGCTTTCCAGCGCGGATCCTAAAAGTTGGCCGCGGACCTCCAAAAGTATCTGCCTACGCAGCTGAGCATGTGCGCCACCCGGCACTGCCTGAGCCCCACGAGCGTGATCGCGTGGGCCCTCTGCGCGAGGGCGCGGGCGCACCTCGGCGGGGCGAGGCCCCCTATGAGTCTCCGGGCTCGCCAGCCTCACACTGGAACTCTGCACTGTCCTTGAAGCCTGGACTGTGCTTCGCATGGCTTGCGTGCGCGGTCGCCTCGGGGTTACGCCACCCGGCATCTCGTGACCTTGCCGCACCTTTGGCACGGCCGCACGTCTTGCCCTTCCACGCCCGGCTTGCAGCCCGTGTAAGCCTGTGCTCTGGCTTCGCATGCACAAGATCTTCACGGTCTGAGCGCGCTGCACCGCCTGCGGCTTCCTCCTCCTCCTCCTCCTCCTCCTCCTCCTCCTCCTCCTCCTCCTCCTCCTCCTCCTCCCCCGCGCCCTTTCTTTTTCCTTTGTGCCCAACTCGGTTCCGATGTGTCCCTCGGCTGTCCCGCCCGCGTCTTGGGCCCACGTCGCCGCTGAACAAAAGCTAGCCAGCCTCCCTGCTGCTCCGTTCGGTGGAGCCAGATCGCCCACGGCAGCGCTTCGGATGGACCCCGAGGCACAGCTTTTGGCTGGTGACGCTGCCGCTCTGCAGCTCGCCCCCGCGACGCGCGGGCACACAGCAAGAAGCGATCGGCCTCTCGCTGTGGTGGGCCCTCTGGGCCAGCGCGCCGGCAGCCTCTCGCTGTGGCGGGCCCTCTGCGTGAGGGCCCCGAGCCGTGGCTCCTGGATCGCGTGGTGCCGGCTCGTCCTCGTGCCAGCGGCCCTCCTGCTCGCCTCCGGGGCCGCTGGGGGCCGGTGCTGCCCCTCGTGTGGGCTGCGTGCTTGCTGCGCCCGCCGGGGTCCGAGCCGCAGACGAGCTGCTGCGTCGAGCCGCGCCTCCCGACCGTGCGGTGAGGTCCCCGGGGCCTCCGAGAGGCCGCCGCGCGGTCGGTCCCCGCACCGCTCCAGGACCCCCCCCAGGCGTTGCGGAGGAGGACCGGCCGCCGCCGCCTGCCTCTGGCACCGCCCGCGGCCTGCTCCTGCCGCGCTTGCGGCGGCCGCGCAGGGGCCCGGGCGACGCGCTCGCTCAGCACTCTTGTACCTGTGGTGTGCGCTGCGTGGCCTGCCTCCCAATTAGTGCTCTCTGCGGCCCGCCTAGCTCTTAACCGGAAGAGGCTCGCTCTCGACCCGCAGATCAAACAAGTGCGCTGCGTGGCGGGCGGCTTTCTGGCCATGCCGCTCGGGGAGCGATCTGCGGTGATGTAGTGGTAGTCTATGATCGGGTCGGGCGCACGCCTCCGAGGAGGGCGCGTCGTTCCAGCAGGCCCTTCCTCGGTGCCCCACGTCTGTCGGGGGAGGGCCCGCCGGCCGCGGTGTCGGTCGGCCCTCCTCCGACCGACGGGCCCGCGCCGCCTCGGCGCGGCGGCAGCGTCGGTGCCGCCGCCTCGGAGCAAGCCGCGGGCAGCGCCTGGGCGGGCTCCGCGCGCTCTGGCCCGGTTGGGGGCGGCCTCGGCGCTCTTTTGCTCGCCCTCGGCGCTCTGTTGCGTCCACCAGTGAGCGGCAGGCCAGCCTTCAGAATGTAGCGTCTTGGGCGTTCAGATGTGTGCAGTGGTGCACCTCGCTTCTGGGGCCCCGGCCCCCCCGCGCCGACCCTCGAGGGCCCCGCTCCGGCGGATCTGCGCGCTTCGCTTCGCTTCGCTTCGGCACTGGCCCTTGCTCGGAGCGCAAGGGCCAGTGCGGTGGCCTGTGCACGGGCCGCCTGGACAGGGGCCACCTGCCGTACACCATGGCGCTGCTTGTGCGGCACCCCTCGGGCGGTGGGCTGGGCGTCGTCGCGCGGGCGCTCCTTTCCTGTGCAGGGGCGCCTCCCTCGAGTGCTTGGGCTCGCTCTGCGTCTCACGCTCTGCCGCCGCCGCGTCTTCTTGCTCTTGAGCGCCCTGGGCGTGATGCTGGAGTGCCGACGTGCGTGCTGCCTGGCCGCACGCGCGGGGTGCTGTTCCTGTTGCATCGCCTCGTCGAGGCTGGCTTTGGGTCCAGACGAGGATGCAGGAGAAGGGCTCCGTGAAGGAGACCCCACCCGTCCCCAGGGTACGCTGGGGGCGTTCGTCGAGGAATGTGCCCCGGAGGGTTCAGACCCTGGAAGATTCCTTACCTGATGAGCGCGGCGGTAGTAGCCATGGCCAAGCCCCAGTTGGTGCTCCACTGGCTTCTAGACTATGGTTTCTTTATCCACTGATGACGTATCCAATGATGTCACCGTATAACTGCCCACTTTGCTCGGGGCGCCGGGAAAGGGGGTCAGCGCTGGTGGGGGGGAGCCGATCCCTCTGATCCTCTCTGGCCAGCCAGGGCTTGGGGAGCCACGTGGCTCATTCCAGAAAGGGCCCCGCCTTCGAGGATCGAAGGGGTTGACATCTCTCCTCCAGCGGAAGGCGGCGGAAGGCCGGTGAAAGGCGGCGGAAGTAAAACGAGGGCGGTTCCGCTGGCGGAAGGCGGCGGAAGGCCGGCAGACGGCGGGGGAAGCCAAAGAATGCGCCCCAATGGAATGGCGAGGTTTTCTGGTTCAAGGTTTCTGGAGTCGGCCACGTGTGTGTGGCCTCCCCCTCCACTCCCCCCGCCGACCTCGGTTTCGGAGTTACTTCGTGGCCAGCCTGGCGTCGCGACGCGGCCCTGGCTGACCCAGATTATCGCTTCGATGATGAGCAGCATGATCTGCAGCCTGACTTCCGCGAGCCCACTTGCAATGAGGCCTTTGAACGATTTTGTCGAGGTTGTCGTGGTTGGCTCTGATGTTTTACCCTCCGTGGACAGCGGCCGTGTCGGATGGGCGAGGAAGGATTTCCACTACCTAGTCCCGTTCTTCGCCATGCTGTGTTTCAAATTATCATCCGTAGGCGATGGTCTTTCAAGCTGCTACGCCGAGGCTTCGCCGCATGATGACTTTGGACAGGGAGCGCCTGGGAGCGCCTGGGAGCGCCTGGGAGCGCCTGGCGGCGCTTGGGTGGGCGCCTGGGAGCGCCTGGGAGCGCCTGGGAGCGCCTGGGAGCGCCTGAGAGCGCCTGGGAGCGCCTGGGAGTGTCGTCGTTGCGGCAGCTCTTCCCCAGCGACCACGCCAAGACATCGAAGGTCACAGCCGGCTTGGCCGTGTGACCGTAGTGCGCTGGACGCGGACTCATCGATGTGGCAGTCACGGCGACCAGTCCTCTTCGGCGCCCCACGGGAGTTCTGCGTCCTTCGATGTGTCCACAGACTCGGCTCTATCCGTCGGCACTTGCACCAGCCGCTGTTTCGAGTGGTACTGCATCCCCACTGACGGCAGCTCGTGGAAGTCGTGCGGTGTCTCGGAGGGTGCCGGCGACGATGTGCCCCACCAGCCCCCGGTGACCCTCCTTGCTGGTGCTGGCGATCGGAGGCGACGGCTGACAGTCCCGACGGTCAGCATGTGTTCTCCGTGATGCCCCTCCTTTCCCAGTGCCCTCCCTAGGTGCCCCGCTCCCCCGCTCACGCCACCGCGCGAGCAGACGCTGTATAGTGGGCGCGTAGAATGACTCCAGCGCGACCTGAATTCAGGGTCTTCCTGCTTGCTTCCAGGGCAATTCAGAGCAGTTCTGAGCAATGCAAAGAAGTGCAGCGTAGAGCATTGCTTCGCATCGCTTGGCATCGGTTGGCACTGCTCGGCGTTGCTTGGCGTTGCTTGGCATTGCTTACTTCGCATTGCTTTGCATTGCTCGGCATTGCTTGTCGTTGCTTGGCATCGCTTGGCATTGCTTGGCATTGCTAGCATCGCTTGGCTTTGCTTTGTCGCTTTGCTTTTCGTTTCCTGGCCTTGCCTGGCGCTGCTTAGCATTGCTCGGCATCGCTTGGCATTGCTTGACTTTGCTTTTCGTTGCTTGGCATTGCGTGGCGTTCTGCAGCCACAGCGGGCAACCCTGGGCAGCCCTGGACTGACGGGCAATTGGGCAACCGGGCAACCGGGCAACCCCGGGGAACTACGGGGAGCCTTGTGCAACGCGGCAGCAGGGCAACCTGGGGATCCCCGAGGGCGACCTCTCGTTACCGCCGGCCGCACCCACCGGATGTTTCACAAATCACCCGGGACCCCATCAGGCAGAGCCTAACTAGCGAATCAGAAACCGCCCTGCCAGCAGGTCTCCCGCGGCAATCTCTCGCCGCCCGATGGCCGCAAGGACCCACAGCAGCCTTGGAACCCCGTAGGATGCTCAAGGATCGACGACAGCGGTGTCCCTGCTGTATACGCCAGAGTTCTGATCTGCTTGGCCCCTCAATCGGTGCCCCACTCGGCCGCATGGGATGCTTTCTCGGAGCCCGTTCGGGCGCATGGTTTCAAGGCTCTGACCGGGGGGGCCCAGGTTGAAGGCGCAGGGAGCGCTCTGGCTCCCTTGCCTTTCGAGCACACCGGCCTGCGCCTGTCAGATGAATGCCAGGGTTCTTGGCCTCAACGGGGACGGCCAGGAGCATCGACCGCAAGGCCCGAGGGCAATATGGTGCCGCATCGAGGGCACTGTTTGGCCTGGGCGCGCGCACTGCCGCTGGCCCCAGGCGGCTGGAAGAAACCACAACCTGGGTGAACGCAACCATCGTCTGATGGGAGCGTTTGCCCAGGGCTAATAATATCCAGATCATTTTTTGCACCCCGCCGTTTAAAGTTTGCGTGCGTGTTGTCTAGATGTTTTTTTGTTTGTTTGTGTTTTTTTGTTTTCTCTCTCTCTCTCTCTCTTTCTCTGTCTCTCCCTCTATCTCTGTCCGTGTGTGCACATTTCCTTTATCGGTGTCCAATCTTCCGCACTCCGCCCTCCTCCCTCCTCCCTCCCTCCTCCCTCCTCCCCCCCTCCTTCCCCCCTCCCTCCCCCCATCCTCCTCTTCCTCATCCTCCTCCTCCCTCCTCCCTTCTCGCAGAGTTCTGCACGCAGCCATCGGGCCACAAACTCTCCTTTACTAGCCGGCACCTTGTGCCGCTCCGTGTCGGCACCCTGAGGGCCGCGGCGCCCATGCGGCTGGATGGTGCGCTGGCCGGCCCGCTGATTCTCGCGGTGTGCGCCGTGCTCCGTGCGAGCGCCCTCCAGAGCCGAATCGTGTACGACCTGGAGGCCGAGGGCGAGGGCGCCTCGGACGACCTGCAGGGCCAGAGCGAGGGCAGGTCCTACAGCCTGGAGGGCGGCGACCAGGGCGCCTCGGACGACCTGCAGGGCCAGAGCCAGGGCAGGTCGTACAGCCTGGAGGGCGGCGACCAGGGCGCCTCGGACGACCTGGCGGCTCAGGGCGAGGGCGAGTCCACCGACCTGCAGGGCCAGAGCGAGGGCAGGTCGTACAGCCTGGAGAGCGGCGACCAGGGCGCCTCGGATGACCTGGCGGCCGAGGGCGAGGGCGAGTCCACCGACCTGCAGGACCAGAGCGAGGGCAGGTCGTACAGCCTGGAGGGCGGCGACCAGGGCGCCTCGGATGACCTGGCGGCCGAGGGCGTGGGTGACGTGCCCGCGGACACCCGCAGCGAGAGAGAGTGGCCGCGGTTAGTCGTGAAGGAGGGGGCGGCGCAGCATCAAGCAGCAGCAAGGTGATGAGCAGCAGCAGGAGGTGGATGATGATGATGATGATGATGATGATGATGATGATGATGATGATGATGATGATGATGATGATGATGATGATGATGATGATGATGATGATGATGATGATGATGATGATGATGATGATGATGATGATGATGATGATGATGATGATGATGATGATGATGATGATGATGATGATGATGATGATGAGGAGGAGGAGGAGGAGGAGGAGGAGGAGGAGGAGGAGGAGGGAGGACGAGAAAGCTCCTGAGGCTGCTGCTGCTGGTGATACTGATAGTGATAATAATAATAATGATGATGCTGATGATGATGCTGCTGCTGATGATGATGCTATGGTGATGACGACGATGATAATGATGATGCGTCTGATGATGCTGATGATGCTGGTGACGATGTTGCTGATGATGATGCTGATACTGATGATGCTGCCGATGATGATGGCACTGCTAATGATGATGATTATGAGGCTGGTGATGGGGATGATCAAGATGATGCTGACGATGCTGACGATTATGATTATGCTAATGCTGCTGCTGGTGACGATGCTGCTGATGCTGCTGATGCTGATGCTGATGATGATGGTGATATCGACGAGGCTCATGATGATGCTGATGATTGTGAGGATGATGATGAGGCTGCTGCTGCTGATGATGATCATGCTGAGGATGATGATGCTGCTGGTGATGATGACGATGCTGATGCTGATGATACGGTGCTAATGCTATGATGATTTTGATGATGACGATTGCGATGTTGACGACGATGCTGATGATTGTACTGCTGATGATGACGATGACGACGACGACGACGACGATGATGATGATGATGATGATGATGATGATTATGATGATGATGATGATGGTGATGGTGACGATGATGATGATGATGATGCTGATGATGAAGATGATGATGATGATGATGATGATGATGATGATGATGATGATGATGATGATGATGATGATGAGATGATGATGATGATGATGATGATGATGATGATGATGATGATGATGATGATGATGATGATGATGATGATGATGATGATGATGATGCTGGTGATTTTCCAACTAGGCTTGCCCTATAGGAGTTCCAACTCAAACCCTACTAATTGGTCCGTTGCCCCCCAATTTCTATGCCCCCTTCCCCCTAATTCCTATTGCTATGTTTATGCCTATGCCTATGCCTCCCCCTAACTCCTATGCTTACGCCTATGCCTATGCCAATGCCCATGCCTATGCCTATGCCTGTGCCTATGCACCACCTCTGAGCGTTCCCATGCCTAAGCCTATATGCCTAAGCCTATGCCTAAGCCTATGCCTAAGCCTATGCCTATGTCTATGCCTATCCACCACCTCTGAGCGCCCCTCCACCTCTTTGCATCATCTTCACGAAGCTGACCCGGCTCCTTGGTAACGCGTGCCAGTAGACGCCCCAACAGAGCGCGGCGCGGAAACGTCCGCGAGGGAGGCGTGGTCGGCGCGCTGCTCCCCTGACGCAGCTGCTGGGTCGCACGGTCCACTACGGTGCAGTAGAGTGGGCTGGGGTGTGCGCGTGTTGAAAGCAGGATCGTCCTCATCGCCATCATCATCGTCATCATCACCATCACCACCCGCTACTATTTGGAGTCAACGCTGGCTGATATGATGATGGTGCTGATGGTGATGATGACGGTGCTGATGATGACGGCGATTATCATGATGATGCTGCTGGTGCTGCGAATGATGATGCTGGTTGTGCTCATGCTGATGCAGATAGCGAGGAGGAGGCGGTGGCGATGGGAGCAGAGGCGTGGCATGGGTTGTTGGTGGTGGCGATGCTGTTGGCCATGCTGGTGGTGATGCTGATGATGATGACGATGGCGATGGTGATGATGGTGATGGGGGTGAAGAGGAGGAGGAGGTGGAGGAGGAGGAGGAGGAGGAGGCGGAGGAGGAGGAGGAGGAGGAGGAGGAGGAGGAGGGGGAGGAGGCTGATGACGAGGAAGAGTATGATCATGCCGCAGGAGCGCGCTTAAGGCGCTCAGCCGTGGCATCGGCTCATCCACCCAGCGCCCACTCCCCGCCAGGGGAACGCCCGTGGCTCCCTCATTCGACTTCAGGCGGGTATCATGGAGTCAGGACCTGTATCAACTTCTGGGAGAGAACAGGGGCATTCGTTGAGAGGGTTGCCGAGGTCTGCGTTCTGGTTTTCGTTTGCGGATTTCGGTCTCCATGTGGTTGTTGGGCCCCTGAGAGGCCCGTGGCGTCAGTGCGGAGGTTTTTCTGGATTGTGAGGGTTCTTTCAGAGTGGCTTCGCCAAAGCAGCGGGAAACAACACAAAGGAACATTATGCGTATGGAGATGCACACGGTGATGATGGTGAATCTGGTGATGCTGCTATCCCTTCTGCTTCTGCTGCTGTTGATGCTGCTGCTGATGATGATGATGATGACAATGACGATGATGAGGAACGGTAGTGGTAATAGTGGTGGTGATGACGGTGATGGTGATGGGGATGATGATGAGGATGCGGATGATGCGTATGATGTTGCTTGTGATGGTGATGGTGATCATGATGATGATGGTGCTGATGCGGATGATTTTGATCATGATCGCGAGGAGGCTTATGCTGAAAACGATGATGTTGATGAGAATGTTGTAGTGCAGATGGAAGGAAGGTGTGTAGCAGGAGGCGGAGGGTTCATTGAGGGAATGCACTTCAGGGGCAGTGGGGTATAATGATGACGACGACGGTCGTGACGATTATGCTTCTGATGGTGATGATGACGGAGGTGGTGATCATGATGCGGATGATGATGACAGCGATGATTATCATGACGTCGTGGATGTGGATGATGATGGTGATGATAATGCTGCTGATGATGATGGTGTGCATGATCATGATGATGATGATGGTTATGCTGATTATGTTGATGATGATGGTTTGGCTGCTGCTGCAGATGGTGATGCTAGCAGTGAAGATGATGGTGATGATGCTGATGCTGCTGCTGCTGATGATGCTGATGCTGCTGCTGCTGATGATGATGATGATGGTGGTGATGGTCCTGCTGCTGCTGATGATGCTGTTAATGACTGTGGTTTTGATGACGATCATGATGACGATGATGTGTCTTGTGCGGCAGATGATGCTCATGCCAATGACCTCCGGTGGCGACTTGTCTGGCGCTGCAGCAGGCCGCAGCGTCGGAACCAGATGGCGACGGTGTTCGGCTGCAGCGATGGCGGTTTTCTCACAGATGCCACTCGAGAACTCGCGCCCCACTTGAGTCTCCAGGGCGGCCGCAGCGGCCCTCAACTTCAGCGCAGGCTCTGGCGCGCACGCTGCGGCAAGGCCCTCCTCCTTGGGCGGCCCTGCAGCCGGTCAGGTCTCACGCCAGCAGCATCCAGGCCGGTTCGTGGTCGCTCACCACGGTGGCGCGCGGCGCCGACAGGGCCCCGCCGTGGTGGGGTAGCGACCCTCCATGGGCCGCGTGATGCGCCGCTTCCTGCTGGAGCCCTCCGCGCCCTGGCGGGGTTCGCACCTCATCAGCAGGGCTGCACTTGCCGCTGTCGGCGCAGCAGGCGCACCGCTGCCTGCCCAGGCTGCGGTGCGGCTGCCATGCCGGCCGCGGCCGCTGCTGGCACCGCCCAGCCTGCACCGCGTGGCAGCCGCCGCCGCTGCTGCCATGGCAGGTTACCCTTGCCGCTGGCGGCATGGCAGCCCCCGCGGCCTGGCGCCGCCGCGGGCGGAACTCGGTGGTTCAAAGAGGGGGTCCTGAGGGATGGGGTCCTCAGGACGATGTGCCCCAGACAACGTAAATCCACCCTTGGATCCCTTCCTATCCTCAGGCCCCCCTCCCTCGGGATCCCATCTTGGAACCACCGCGGAACCCGTCGCTCCCCCCTGCCGCGGGGCAGCAGGTGCGCAGGAGCCCCACGCCCCGCTCGCGGGCGGCCGCCCGTGGGCAGGCGGCTGCGGTGTGCTGCCGCCTGGGTCCCCACGCGGGGGCTCCGGCCCGCAGCGCGCGCCCCCGCGGCGCAGTCGGCCACGCTCGGGGCCGCTCGAGCTTGGAGGCGGCCAGGGGGTCCGAATCGGTTGGGGACCCAGAAAATCGTTCAGGAAAGGGGGGGTGGGGGGCAACATCCACTCATGATCGGTCCCCGGATCCTTGTTCTGGGGTCCTTCTGGGGTCCATGTGGTGCTTGCAGTGTTTCACCTTGGATCCGTTTTGGACGGCCTGGGGGCCCGAAAACGCATGCCTGAGGCAGAAAAAGGTACAAACCCTTCGCGGTCCGATAGCCTCGAACCTGCCCCCTCGCCCTGCTGGCTGGGACAAGTGCTCGGCCACCTCAGACCCCCAGCCGGCTCCAGGCTCCAGCAGCGCACGCCATGCTGCGGCGTACGCGCCGAGGGCACCCAGCGCGTCGCCGTGGCCCGTCGACGCGCCGAGGGCACCCAGCGCGGGCGTTCCAAGGTTGAACGCCGCCAGTGGCCCGGAATCGGCCAGAGTGGAACGATCTTGCGATCGAAAAGCCGCCGATTGTTCCAGGTCGAACGATCCACGCGGTGTCTGAAACCAACGCAGAACTCATCACGGCACGAAGCTGCCGCAGCGTGTCGCCGCGGCGGCCCCGGCGACGCGCTCTGCCCTGCGAGCGGATAGTGCGTCGCTCCTCTCCGTGGGGCGGGAGGCTCCGAAGTGCTTGGGACGTCGACGCTGCTGGCTGGGAAGTGGATAGCGTGTCGCGCCGAAGCGCGGTGGGCCATGACCAGCGGAGCGACACGCTAGCCAAGAGATCCCGACCGTAGGGCCAGGGTAAAACGTTCAAGAGCGCTCCAGAGCGCTCGCGCTCCAGAGCGCTCTCAGAGCGTGCTGGAGCGCTCCAGAGCGGCCGCGGCGCGCCATGCATCCTCCACATGCGTTTTTTTGTTACCCCCTTTTTTGCTGTTTTTC